ACACCAAAACCAAAATCTGGAGCAAGAGCAAGAGCAAGATTACCACCAACCCCATCACCAAAAAGAGTACCAAAATCAAAATCAACTCCATCCTCAAGACCAAAACTCAGACTTAGACCAAGAAAAAGAACAACACCAAGACCAGGAACAAAAAAAAGACCTACCTCAACTCCAATAATTACATCACCAACACCAAAACCACTACCAATTCCACAATCAACACCAAAATTAAAATCAAGATCAAGGGCAAGATCAAAACTAATTCCAACACCACAACCAAAACGAGTAGCAAAATCATATCCAAGACCAACACCAAAATCAAAATCAAAATCAAAATCAAAATCAAAATCAAAATCAAATCCAACTTCAACACAAACCCCAAAACCACAACAACATCAACCAAAATCAGAGTTTATGTTCAATTCATCCACCCACCCACAATTCATTGATGTACCTTCAATTGAAGAGTATGATGAAGTACTTGGCCAATGGGTTACAATTTACACCTCCCAATCAACACCAAGTACACCAACCACCTCATCCAATTACCCAACTTTTTATGCACCAGAGTCCAAATACAATAGTACTGGTGCACCAACAGAATCATTTGAGGGAATGGTTGAAGGGCCATCAATTGAAGAGTTTGATGAAGAACTTGGTGAATGGGTCACCATTTACACCGCACCTACAAACTCTGCACCACATCCACAATCAACACCACAACCAAGTACACCAACCACCTCATCCGATTACCCAAACTTTTATACACCAGAGTCCAAATACAATAGTACTGGTGCACCAAAACAACCATATGAGGGAATGGTTGAAGGACCATCAATTGAGGAATTTGATGAAGAACTTGGTGAGTGGATCACCATTTACACCGCATCCCCAACATTCGCCCACACTACACCCATCGCCTCATCTAACTACCCAAAGTTCTATGCACCAGAATCAAAATTCGATTCTACTGGTGCATCATCATAATCCAATAGGGAAAGATTGAGAATGGGCCCCCACAACACAAATCAATGTAATTAATATCATATAAAAAAACAACTTGGTCTATAATACAAAAAAACATCCATTTCAAACAGTGCTGGTAAACTCAAAATAAATTTAGGTAAAATATCTTTTGTATTTATATTATTTTAAATATTAAACCATTTATTAATATTTATTTTAAATATTTAGATTTCAATACAACAAATCACTCAACCATAACCCAATTGATGCCAAAAACCACACCTCACACCCCACCTTGTATTATATCTTTTTAGGTTTTTTATAAAGTAAGTTTATAATATATTATATTTAATGTTTTTTATTATTTAGTATTAATATAATTATTAGTTAGAAAATAAATAGTTCAATAGTAAATATATTTTAATAGATGATATCAACTCTTTAAAATCAGAAATTTTAAAGATTAAAACAGTGTACCGAGACTGCACCAATCAACCTACACCAACGAAGTTTTCTATTTACTATTTGATGGTTTTAATACATTGCTCTGGCCAAGCAACTATTATAATCATCGAACAGTTTTAGATAACCAAAAGATTTAGTAGTCACCATTCTGCACCTGCCACCGGATATCAACTGTAGAATCCTAGTAAAACCTTCAAAATAATAGCAACTAGTGTTCATCCATATAATAAATAAAAATATAGTTTCAATTTTAGGTTTAAATATACTGTATATAATTTTTTATTCTTATTTTAAAAAAAAAAAGTAAATTAACTCTTTAATAAAATAAGTTTATTTTAAATTCTAAAATTAAAATTTTCCCTATTAAAAAGATAAAATATAATTTTAAATTAAATTTTTTTTTTTTTTTTTTTTTTTTATTTTTTTTTTTTTTTTTTTTTTCAATTTTTACATTTTATTTTTAATTATCTTATTTATTGCATAAATAACAGATAATAAATTATAAAATAACTAAAATCAATATATTATGAACAATGATAATAATAATAAATGATTATCAAATGATGATTTTAGATCGTTAATAGAAAAAAAGCCAATCAATAATAGCAATAATAATAGTATTAGTAGTAATAAAAAAAAATAATAATAATAAAACAAAATGGTTGGATAGAGATTATGAATATTACCAAAATGCACCAGAAAAGAAAAATGATTCAAATTATTTAGATTGAGCAAGAGAGAGAAGAACTCAAAATGCTGATGAAGGCCAAAATCAAATTAAAAAAGGTTTAGATTTTGAATTATTACAAAATACATAAGAGAAATTAAATTTAGATAATAAACAACACCAGCATCATCAAAAAGATCAAAAATATCAAAGCGAGATTGATAAAATTAAAAACAATAGCAAATATTACAGCTGATAAATCCAATGATATTAAAAAGAAACAACAAATTAAAAACAATAAAGAAATATTTCAAATCAATAGAATGCTTTATTTATTTGATTTGGATCCAGTTTTTCCTCAATTAATACTAACAACTATAATGAATAGTAAAGAAGACTGTCCAAAAGTTAAAGAAACAATATCAGGCCGTTTAGATACAAATATTTTAAAAAGAATTATAGGTTTTTACCATCCAGAAAAAGAAATACTAATAGTTAAGCAGTAAATCAACGGAAATGGTGGCATCAGTGACGATAATATATTTTCAGATTCAGATAAAGATGAAAAAGAAAAAGAAAATAGTAAAAAAGTTGTAGTTATTCAAAAGCAAGACGATTCAAATTCAGATTCAGATATTTTTTCAGATGCACAAGATTATGTTTGTGAAGTAAATAAATCAACAACTACCACAACAACAGAAACACAAGCAAAATCACACCATTACTTTAAAAATAAAGAAGACTATTCAGATGAATTCGAACCAATTGGTAAAGAAGGTGATGAAAATGACCACAATGTCCTGGCATATATCAAATCATTTATTATTGTATGTGGAACTCTTTAAAAAACTGACAGGTGAATGGCATATATATTAATTATAATTATTATTTTGAACTATTTATTTATTTATTCATATAATAATAAACAAAAAAAAAACAAATAACAGTAAACGAGCTTTAAAATTTTTAATTAAATACTGTAATTTTATAAATATTTTTTTATTTATTTTTAATATACTTTTTCATAAAATTAATACCTTTTTTGCCTTAAAAAATAATTAATTAATAAAAAAAAATACTATAGGTTATCAATATTTGCAAAGATTATTACAGAATTAGATTCAAGAAAAAGATCTAAACAAAGTGTTCACCATGCATAGCTCCCTATCAAAACAACTAAATTATGTGTTCTTAATCAAGAAGATTCAAGGCTATCAAGTATGAAGATTCAAGTGTGAAGTATCAAGGCTGGTTTGGTATATTAATCTGTATTCTGAGATTACCAACCCAAGGACTAATTATTATACTGTACGTGGCGGTATAATAGTTAGCTGTCGGCTCAAATATACTAACCTCCCCGTGGTTGAGGTGGAAACACCCTTTACAAATAATAGTATAAAAAAAAAAAAAAAATATATAAAATAAATAAAATAAAATAATGTTTATTTAAATTTATAAAAAATTTATTTATTTATTTTGATAAAATAGTATTTGTTAATTAATTATAAAATTTTTTTTGACCCATTAAGTATCTATATCTTGATTTTCTAACAATTCTCCATAAATAGATTGGTAGTACCCTTTTTGGTTTCTTATTTACTTGTATTAAACATCTTATGGCAATTTCAGGCTTGTTGGGATTTAATGTGTTTTGGAATGAAATCGTCGCTGATGGAGTCATATAATGACCAAAGAACATTGTATGTATTTGAACGTAATAGACAGTGGTCTTCTTTTGCTTCATAAAATCCTAGTTTTATATGGAGGTCTAAGGAGCTTTGATAAACTTTGTCTATTAAATTTTGGAATTGATGTATTTTATTACTTTTTTGATATTCTTTTTTAGCATTTCCAAAATGCATAAATATTAAGACTGCAACTTCTGTTTGTTTAAATTCAACCTTTTCTGGGTTTGAAATGCAGTTATACATACATGCGAGTGTTTCTTCCAAAAACTTGATGGTTTCCTCTGATGAATTTGGGTTGAACCATCCCTTGATAATTAAATTTGATACCAATAAACTACTATTGGCTCTAATTTCATCTGATACACTATTACTAGCTAATGAAAAAAATGCTAATTTTAATATGCTATTAATGAGTGTTTCTATTTCTTGGGCATCTAAAAAATTGACTAAGTCCATTAATGATAATCTTTTTATGGCACTTAATATTGAACTATTATCATTTGATTTTAATAACAATTCTTTATAGTGATTATATTCACTTAATGAAATTTTGATGCCTGATGAATTGCTTTCTAAAATACCACTATTGCTATTGAAGATGTTGTTGATGATGTTGATTAAGGAATTTCTAATAGAGCAAACAATTATTGATGATAAATTATAAATAAAAACAAAAACAGAGATAATATAAGAAATGGTTAAATTATTCATTTTTATAAAAATATGTTATTTGTTTATTGTTATATATTAAATTGTGAATTGTAAAAAAATATAATATTTTATTTAATTTTGATTATTATTAAGGAAAATGTGATAAATATATATATAAGTAAAAGTAATTTTTTTTGTAGAGGAAATAATTTAAAGAAAAAAAAATTTAAAAGAAAAATTATAAAAAATAAATTATTAAAAAAAAAATAAGAAAAAAAAAAAATAGGGGTTTTATTTTTTATAAAATAAAAATTCATAAAAAAATTATGTCAAGTTGTCTATTAATTTTTTTTTTTTTTTAAAATAAAACAAATATAATTTAATTTTTTTTTTAATTTTTTTTTATTTCCATTTTATAGTTTAATTTTTTTTATTTTTTTTTTTAATATAATAAATAATTTTTCTTTTATCAATTATCACATTTTTCCTTAATAATAATCAAAATTAATAAAAAAAATCATATTTTTTTCATATAATTACATTTCACAATTATAAATATCACAAATATAATAATGAATAGTTTAATCATTTCATATATAATCTCTGTTTTTGTTTTTATTTATAATTTTTTTTCTTTAAATATTTGCAAATTCATTACCAACACCATCAACATCTTTAGTAACAAAGATAATAATAATAATAATAGTAATATTTTAGAAAATAATACAAAAAATACAACAGGCATCAAAATTACATTAAGTGAATATAATCACTATAAAGAATTGTTATTAAAATCAAATGATAATAGTTCAATATTAAGTGCCATAAAAAAATTAGATTTCTTTTTAGCATCAATGGACTTAATTAATTTTTTAGATGCCAAAGAATTAGAAACACTCATTAATAGCATTTTAAAAATAGCATTTTTTTCATTAGCTAGTAATAGTGTTTCAGATGAAATTAGAGCCAATAGTAGCTTATTAGTTTCAAATTTAATTATCAAGGGATGGTTCAATCCAAATTCTTCAGAGGAAACCATCAAATTATTGGAAGAAACACTCGCATGTATGTATAACTGCATTTCAAACCCAGAAAAGGTTGAATTTAAACAAACAGAAGTTGCAGTCTTAATATTTATGCATTTTGGAAATGCTAAAAAAGAATATCAAAAAAGTAATAAAATACATCAATTCCAAAATTTAATAGACAAAGTTTATCAAAGCTCCTTAGACCTCCATATAAAACTAGGATTTTATGAAGCAAAAGAAGACCACTGTCTATTACGTTCAAATACATACAATGTTCTTTGGTCATTATATGACTCCATCAGCGACGATTTCATTCCAAAACACATAAAATCCCAACAAGCCTGAAATGTTTAATACAAGTAAAAAAGAAATCAAAAAGGGTATTACCGGTCTGTTTATCTAGAACTGTTCAAAAAACCAAGAGATGCATACTTAAAGGGCAAAAAAAAAAAAAAAAAAAAAAAATTTTAATTATCAAAAACTTTTTTATCAAAATAAATAAATTAATTTTTTATAAATGTGAATAAACTATTTATTAAATTATCTAACTTTAGTAAATTCGTAAAGAAAATATTTAAAATGTACAATTTTAATCTTTTTTTAAATTATTATTGTACACATTGCTTTAATCTTTCTTTTTTCTATCTTTTTTAAAAAGTAAATGTTTTTTTTTAAATTAAAAAAAAAAAATATTTTCTAATTTTTATAAATTATTATCCTTGATTTATCTTTTTTTTTTTTTTTTTATCCACTTTTATCCTATTTTTATAAATCTTCCAAGTGATACAAAAATAGTAAAATCCCACTAAAATCAAATTTAATTAGATATTTAAAAAAATATCAAATTTAATTTTTAAAATTTAAAAAAAAAATAAAATTTTAAAATAAATAAAAAAAAAATTTTTTTTTTTTTTTTTTTTTCATTTTTCAATTTTTTTTTTAAAAGATTTATTTATAACCAAATTCGCAACTGCAGTGCGCAGCCTCAACCACAATAAACCAATTCTACTTTAATAGAACTAAATTAAAACATAAGATCATTGGGCTTTATGGTAAAAAGAAAATTATGAAGTTTATTAGAAATTAAATTAAAAGTAATGGTAATAACATTTAGACTAATTGATTATTGTTATAAAGTAAACATATGTAATAACACTTTAAATTATTAATTATAATACAGGTAGATGAATATATATTAATAAAATCTAGAGATATTAAGATATTTTTTTAGAGACTAATAGAGATGCAGATTTAATTATTTTATTATACGAAAAGATTTAATTAGTTTATTATACGAAAAGAAAAAAAAAACAGCTACACATGTTTGATTTAGTAGAATGTGCATACTATTAAGATAATATAGAAGCATTGGAGTATTTCCTATCAATGAATGTACCAACATTTTTACCAAACTACACAATTAATAATAAAAGTTTTTTCAATGTCATCAATTAAATCATTAGAATTACTATTAAAATATCGAGTAAATATCATAGAACCATATAATATCAATATCAATAATAACAATAACAATAATAACACAACAGCAGCCTCATAATCATCATCATCATTCAGTTTAAACAATAGTAATAATAATAATTACACAACAACAGTAACATTAGCATTCAGTTTAAAAAATAGTTATAGTAACAATAATACAACAACAGCAGCACCAGAACCTACGACATTCAGTTTAAAAAATAGTAATAGAAACTATAATTTAAATAATATTAGTGAATATAGCAATCTAAATAATAACAGTATCAGTTTAGTCCAAAGCGCAAGTTGTAGTAGTATAAGCAGTTGTAATAGTAATGATATCAATGGGAGTGGCTGTAGTGGCGGTTGCAACAATAAAAACAGTAATAGCTTTTTAATTAATAATGGTAAAAAAAAATATTCTACCATCATCATCATATTTACAATTATACAGGGTTAAAAGAGCATCAACTGAAAAAGAGAAAGAATAAATAAAAAACGTATTGAAAAAGAAAATAAACTATAATTTTAGAACTCAAGAGAGTATAAAAATAAATAATTTTTTTATTTATTATTTTTTTAAAATTATTTATATTTTTATTTTTAAATTAAACTAATTGATAATAGTATAAAATTCTTTTTTTTTTTTTTTTAAATTGATGTATTTAAAGAAACATGTGACTCTATTGAAACCTTTTTTTGAATGTAATTGGGTCTTCTAAATATTTATATTTCTTTGAATTATTATCCTATTTAAAAAAAATGAATTAATAAAAAGTTTTTTATAATATATGATGATATTAATGCTTTGTTTTTATCAATTCCTTCTTGTAAAAATTTTTCCAACTCTTCGATTCTAGCTTTGAGTTTTAGTGATTATTTTAGTGATAATATCTGATGAAATACTACTATCTGATGAACTACTATCTGATGAACTGCTATCTGATGATGATCTGCTATCTGATGAGTCTGAAGAATCTTTCCAGTCTGAAGAGTTACCACAATTATACCTGTTGATATGCTAGTTGATCCACCTGTGCCACTTGTGCAATGAATAAAGCAATACCAACTAACTGTGGTGGATCATTTGTATTGTCTTCTTTACAATAAGATCTAGTCCCTTGTGATTTAGGATGAATTAAACTTTTCTGTTAAACCTAATGTTTAAGTATGGCAAGCGAAAGTTGGAGTTACTTTAAAGAATTTGTTTATTGAAACGACGGCTTCATTTATGAACTTTGAACCTCTATCAGATACTATATTCTTTGGGGGTCATATTTTAAATATACTCTCTGAATATTTCTTTTCTTTTCCTGGTCCTATCGGCATTATGACCGAGGTCGAAACCACTCTCTAAATATTTCTTTTCTTTTCCTGATCCTATCGGCATCGGCTTGTTGAGCTAATGCATCCAATGCATTGACACCACCTTTAAATGAAGCTAAATTATTTGCAAATCTCTTACGATCATCATCTTGACATTGACCACCTTGAAGACGTACACTTTCAAATAGATTTTGAGTGAGTGCACCAATTTTTCTAGCTGCATCCATAAATTTACTTTGTAATTCGGGATCTACAATTAATCTTGAGGAACCTTTAGAGTCATGTAATAAATCTTTTAATGAATCTGAAACTGAATTGACAGCGGCGAAAATATCCATTTCTAAATCATCACCCTCTTGATAACAAAGTTCATGTAAACGATTGGCTTGTTGCATATGGTGTAAAGATCTTTGATTACCATTTGATGGGTGGCTTCTAGAATACCTAAATTACCAAACTTGATTGTTTTTTTTGAATTATTTGCTAAAATCCTGTTTTGATGATGGTTCATAACCTAATACTGAAAATATTTCGGGTAGGCCAAACTCTAATATTCACTTTTAGCTATTAAGACACCATCAACATTACTAAATTGTGGTTGTTAGCTTGATTTATTCTTTATCTTGCATATTTTGATTTAATTGAAGATAAATTACCAGCATAAGTAGCAATCTATATGAGAATAAAGCAATACATTTGTATTGTCTTCTTTACAATAAGACCTAGGCACTTGTGAATTAAGTTGAATTAAACTTTTCTGTTAAACCATATGTTTAATTATGGCAAGCGAAAGTTGGAGTTACTTTAAAGAATTTGTTTATTGAAACGACAACTGTTGCTTGGGCCAAAGCAAATGTATTAAGATTTATATAAATAGTTGCCCAAGATTGAAAGACTTTGAAAGAATTTGAGTTTCTGCGACTTTGTGACTTTTTATGATAGTTGCTATAAATGTTGAGATTATTATTATTATTGAGCAATAGTTCGTGGATTGGAATTTATTATTATTTGTAAATAGTATAAAATCTTTTAATAGGTTCGCTGTGCATTTGATAAACATATGCAAAATCTTTATATAATTAATTAAAATCCTTTCATTCATAATATCGACGACAGCAGATCCTGTAAGGGTATTGAATGGTTTTTATTAATCTTCCTTTTGAATATTAATAAAAGTAAATTTAATTTATGTTAGTAATTCTGTTTCTATTTTCAATATTTCTTCAACGATGCAAATTTCTATATGCATATGGGTTTGTTGTTGCTGTTGTTGTTTTAAAATAATGTATTAATTTACTTACTTGTTCTCGAAAGGTATTAAACATATTTTCTAGGGACGAAAATTTAGCTAAGTTTGACTAAAAAAAAAAAAATTTCTGAGTTTCCCCCACTCCCACACCCACCCACTTGACTAATTTTTTCATTTTAAAAACTTAGAAACTTAGAAAAAAAAAAAAAAAACTTAGAATTACATTATTTTTTTTTATGAAAAAAGTTTAAAATTCTTGTAAAATTTTATTTAATCATACCATTTTTGAAATATTTGAATAATTATAAATGACAGAGTTTTCGACAATATCTACTCTTGAAATGTTTGCCCATTCCCTTAATAACACACATTGTTCTATTCTTTCCCAACCCAAATTTGATCTGTTGTCTGTAACCAACAATTTAGCACCCGAAAATGTTCTTTCAATTTCAACGGACGAAGAAGCAACTGAAAGTACATTTCTTACAATTGAATATAATGTTGGATATTTAATACTATTTTCTTTCCAATATTTTATTATATCATTTCTATGATCTAAACTTTCTTTTAAGTATTTTTGGATTTCTTTATACTTTGAAATATATGTATTTGTTTCTTTTTTTTCTTCAATAAGCATTTGAATTAAAGGTTCATCATCTTGAACGGATATATGGTTATCTATAGTTGGTTCTTTATTATAAAGTTTTTTGAATTCCTTTTCATAAAGCATTTCCAATATCTGAATATAAAAAGATTTTTTATTATTTAAATATTGAAGTTCAAAAAAATTGATTTTATGGTTTGGATTTAAAATTACTGATATGTAATATAAATCATTTTTGTCCATTAAAATAAAATATTTATATAGCTTTGATAATATTCTACATATATTTCCTTTAAATTTTATATAAATAAATGAATGAAGATGGGATTCATAAGTTAAAATTAAGTTTAGCATTGATGGAAAGGTTTCACTGATTAAGCAATGATGTTCCGAAAATTTTAGGGTAAGAACATAAAGAGGTGTTAATAATTTGAAAATGATTTTTATATCTTCCCATTCATCATATGTAAAATTTTGAAATCCAAGTTTATGTTGAAGAAAGATATAATTAATTTTTGGTTCCATTAATATTAAATTTCCAAGCAAATCTTGAAATGAATTCCAACGGGTTATTACATCAATTTCCAATATTGTTGATTTTCCTGGTTTTGGCAAATATTGATTTGATTTCGAAATATCTTCCATCTTTTGGTCAAGATTATTCATTGTTTCTTCATTTATTGATTCAAATAAAGATTGAACCTTATTTTGTTAAATGCCACAGCAAATTCGTGGATTTTTTTAAAAAAATCTTCGTATGATATATCTTTTTCATCGATGAAAAAATTGGAGTCTTTATACTTGAATCTTTCAGCTTGTAACTGTTTGATTTTACTAAATATTTTTTTTTTTAAGTCTTCTTTGGTTGGATTCCAACCTATATGCTCTATACTAATATTTGAAAGTTTATTTTTGTCATTTACAAAAGAAACAAAACATAAATTTATAATGTGGGCAAAGCATCGGCTGGCTGAGTTATTAAAACAGGATTCGATAATGTGTTCATCACTGAGCAATTGGACTGCCGCGATTCCATTTGATGCATTATCTAAAGAAATTGAAATAACTTTATTAGTAATTCCATACTCTTCCATGACTTCTTTGATTTTGATTGCTATATTTTCTCCACTATGTTTTTCTGCAAACCCAACCATTGCAATTAATATAACCACTACTTCTAATTCTTTTGTTAAGTATTGGCACTTAACACCCATAAATTTCTTTCCATTAGGAGCTGACCATAAATCAATTATTAAAGATACATTCGAGGTAAGATGCGACAATTCTTTTATAATTAAGAGTTTATTATATTTAAATATTTTGTAAATATCACTTGCGCAAGTGATGCTAGTTAATGTCTTTTTTAAAAAAATATTAACAGGTTAATAAAAAATTTAAAATTTTTAATTTAATAATTGTATTTAACTATTACATACAGTTTTAACAAGTAAGTGTAAAAGCTTTTGATTTGCAAAAGCAAATGGTGTATTTGTTTTACATATTAACAATGCAACTATATACCTGTTAGAGTCCGGATTTATTGTTCTTGGTGTTTCTACCTCTTTGGTAAAGTAATAATCTAGAGTATTAATTGTAGTTGTATCATTGGAAAGATTGTTTTTTTCTCTATATTTTTTAGCTGCTAAACATTTACCATCTATTAAAAATAAGATATTAGTATATAATTTTTTAATCAATAAATTAATTAATAATATGTATACTTTACCATTTGTAAAATGATATCTAATGTTAAAGGTCGAGGAAAAACCATCCCATTTATAGCAATTCATCTTTTGGGCAAGTTGGGCTTTGAAATCTTTCATATTATTTCCACTTTTTAATGTTTCTATTTGGGAATTATTTAAAATTGAACAATGAAATGTTTTACCAATTGTTAACATCAAATTTGAATATTTAAAACTTTCATCCTTTGTTTTTAACATTATATTATCTTTCTTTAATTTTTTGATGGAAAAGGATGATTCATTATATATTCTATTTGTTTCACCCTTTCTTTTATTACTATTTTGATCATCCAATTTTTTGTAGCTTTCATCAGGAATATCATTGTCTTCATCTTGACTTTGACTTTCATTTGGAGAAGAATTAATTTCGAGTTCAATTGTTTCCACATCTTCAATTTTATCTTCAATTTCATCTTCAAATTCATCTTCATCTTCACTTTCATATGACCCATGATTTTTCTTGTTTGGTATAGCTTCATATTGGATTCTTTTTTTTGCAATTTCGTTTTTCAACATCCTGGCCATTTGTTTTGTTTCAGGGGATGTTGATAGCTTTTTGTCTAGATCTTCAATTGAATTTCTTCTGGTAATAGGTCTTTTGTTTGTTCCTTCCATCGATATTTAGTTATTAATATTATTTATTTTTTATAATTTTATATTTATTAATGTTATTATTTATTAATTTATTTCTATTTTTTTAAAATATAATAATTTTTTATTTTTTTAAAATATAATAATTTTTTATATTTTTATATTTATTTTAATTAATTTTGATATTGATATATAAATAAAAATTTTGAAGTATTTATAGAAAAAAAATTATATTAAATTTATTTATTTTTAATTTTAAATATTGCGCTTAATTATATAACTGCTATATTGTAATAAAATATATTTAAAAAATCCTCTTAACAATATTTATGTATATTAATAAAAAAAAAAAAAAAATTTAAAAAAAAATTAAAAAAAAATTTAAAAAAAAAAAAAAAAGGGGGAAACAACCACAAATTACTATATATATTAATTGATTATGATTTAACTGTTTTTTTATTGATTTTTAAACACCTTTTAAATTAAAAACTTTTTTTTTTGTTTTTAAAACTTAGAAAAATAAAAAAAAAAATAAAACTTAGAAATTGACTTTAAAAATGGAACTTATAGACCCCGAACTTAGAAACCCTTTTTTTCAAAAAATAAACTAAATTTTCTACCCTAATATTTTCAGTAATGTTAAAATTATTATTATTATTATTATTATTATTTATTAGATGTGCTATAGTTTACATTATTAAAATTATTTATGTGTTTGCTTGTAGTATATTGTTGTTATCGAAAAAAATGAAATAAAAAAATAAAATTTTAAAAAAAAATAAAAAAAAAAAATAAAAAAATTTTTTTTATAAAATTATTTGGTTTTTAAAAATAGATATTATTTTAAAAATTTAAAATGGCTGTGTTGACTAAAAATTGGGGGGTTTATATAATGTCTAAAGTTTTTAAATCTGGAAATTTTCTCCCCTATAAAAATAAATTAATAAATAAAAGTTTTATTAAATACTTTGATTTTTTTTATTTTATTTTATTTTTTTTAATTTAATTTTACTTACATTCCATAATTGGTAATATATGTGAATTTGTCTGTGGTGGTAGTTTGTTTAGTTTCTTATGAGGAGGTATGTTGTAGTACTTCCAAACAGATAATAATAATTAGAGTATCTAATCTTCTAGTGATCTATGTTATAAGTTTCTTGAGAACTTTTTATCTAAAAAATACAAACCAAATGTGATACAAAACAACAGAGATTTCAAATCAAATAAAACAAGTATTCAAATCAACTCATTTATTTACAATTTCAATTATATACAGGTTTTACAATTAAAAGATGGCTTAAGGGTTTAGTTATTATTGCTTCAACATTGGCATTGATCGCTGCAGGTATTTCAAAAACGAATTTATTATATGCAGTTAGTTCAAGTTGTATCAATGGTG